TAAATTGGAGAAAAGCACTTAAAGTTTTTTATATGAATACTACATGTAAAGCTGTTAAAATACATAACTTCAGTGCAAGAGACTTTGTCCCTTATTTCCTTGTCTGTGTAGGAGGGTAATAAGTCTCTGGCTCTCCATCAATTGACAGTTTCATTTTCAACTTCAAAAGAACATATTTCTATTTTATGAAGAAAGTCTTTAAATTTGATTCTAAACACCAATTCTGATCTTTTAACTTCATTTTGAATGTACCTGTATTAGTTCCAGTTGAGTAATTGTAGACTTTGATTCTGCTTTGATTCTGTCCAACTCTGTATTTAGGCCACTTGTTACAGCTTATTCATGCATTACTCACTCTTAAACTGTACCTTTGCAGTTTCACAATTGGCACATCTACCATGAGCAGAGAACTGACATAATTTGATTCTACTGCTGGTAACACTTTAAAAGGCTTTTGATTAGTGATGAAAGTAAAACCATAAACATTTATCAGAAATTCGTGCCCCAGTGTTAGCAATGAATTGGTTGCATTGGTTTAAGCAAGGCAGATATTGGAAGGAATCTTGGTGTAATTTAAGTATTTGAGGACCACTTTTTAATGCATTTTCATATCTGTTTATTCTGGGGAAATGTTTTCACACCAGGGCCTGCTGAGTTGCTTTCTCTTGTGGAGATTTTTTTATCTCCTAAGTTGTATAAAAGTTGTACCGCATCTGAGTTAAAACACAGTATTGTAGAAAGCTAATACAAAGCTATCCTATGCCTTCAAATAGTATAGAAAATGGAAAATACACAAGTAAATTCTGTTGAAAAAAAAAAAGAATTGTTAGGAGACCTTGCCACCTCATTTCTTCATGTGTCATATCTGTTTATTCTGGGGAAATTTTCACACCAGGCCTTGCTGAGTTGCTTTCTCTTGTGGAGTTTTTTATCTCCTAAGTTTGTATAAAAGTGTACCGCATCTGAGTTAAAACACAGTATTGTAGAAAGCTAATACAAAGCTATCCTATGCCTTCAAATAGTATAGAAAATGGAAAATACACAAGTAAATTCTGTTGAAAAAAAAAAGAATTGTTAGGAGACCTTGCCACCTCATTTCTTCATGTGTCTTCCTGTTCAATACATATTTCCTACAGACCTGTCTATGTGAGACCCCTTTCTGATTTCCCAGACTGGCTAGTGGACCAGGCCTGACCCTGTGGCCTGCAGCCTAGTTTTGCAAAGGGCACACCAAGCCAGCTCCTCACTTCCCAGGGTTGTACAGAGCTAGACAGTCACCACCATCACAGCTGGTTTCCATGGTATCTGATTAGAAGTATGACAGTGACCTTACTATAGTCATGATCTTTCAGAAAAGAGTCATTTTCCAACAAGGATGGCCTGGCCCTTATTCATACCTGGAAAAGTTATGACAGAAATATTCCAGAAGGAATTTTACAGGTTGGAAATTCAGGTTGCCCAATCTCTTGCCACACTTCCAGAAGAGAATCACAGGTCTGTAATTGCTGTCTTAGTCTTTTCAGGCTGCCATAATAAAATAAACAACATAAATTGCCAGTTGCAGAGAGGCGCATGTCTATAATCCCAGCTATGTGGGAGGCTGAGTCCAGATTATCACTTGAACCCAAGAGTTTGAAAACATCTGTGTAACATAGAAACAAACAAACAAAAAGCAAAACCCAGGGATTTATTGCTAATAGTTCTGTGACTGGGAAGTCCAAGTCAAGGTGCCAGCAGACTCAGGATCTGTGGAGGAACTGTTCAATAGAGATTGCATCTTCTGTGTCCTTACAGGACTTTGCTAGAGTGCCTGTTACAAGGGTGCTAGTGGAGCCTTCATGACTTAATCACTTCCCAGCTGCCTACCTTTTTTTTTTTGCAGGACTGAGGTTTGAAGTCAGAGCCTCACATTTACTTGCTAGGTAGGTGCTCTACCACTTGAGCCACCCTGCCAACCATTTTTGGTGTTGGGTATTTTCAAGATAGGGTCTCAAGAACTATTTTCCCAGGTTGTCTTTGGGCCATGATCCTCCTCATCTCTGCCTCTCAGAGTAGCTAGGGTCACAGGTTGAGCCATCAGTGTCCCCACCTCTTAAAACTGTCACATGGGGCATTAGGTTGCTACATGTGAATTTGGTGGGGTACACCAACATTTACATGACAGCAAATAATTACTCCAGTTCCACACCTACTGTGGTTCAGACTGAAGAACCAGCCTCTTCCAGCCAACACGCCAGTTCCCAGTGTCACATGTACTGCTTCAAGATTCTCTTCACACATCCCTGAGGATGGGAGCTCACTGTCTCAGAATACAGCTCTGTGAATCTTCAAAGAATTCACTCTAATAGTAGCTACTATTTATTGAGTGATTACCCAGTGTTAGAAATTGTGGTGTTGCCTGTTTAAACTTCATTCTGCTGCAGAAGGTGGCCTAGTACTGTTACGGTGTCCTTATTGCAGAGGCACTGTAACTGAAGCTGAAAGAAATTAACTTATTTATCCCAGTTTACACAGTTGGCACTGGCAGAACTTAATCTTGACCACAGTCTGCCTGACTCCAGAATCCATTAATACACACACTGCCTCAAGTCTGCTTCTTTCGATCTTTACCTATTGGTCCTCTTTCTGGCAAGGATTGGGTATCCCAAGTCTTCCCTTCTCCAGGATGAGTTGTTCTGCACCACAGGAGGTCTGATAGAAGTGGTGTTAACAGTGTTGGAGGAGAGGAGGAGTCAGAGCTGCTGGGATTTGGAGAGCATGTTGGGTACTCCATGGTGTTGTAGAATCATTACTGCATAAATTCTGAAAGTGTGGTCCAGGAACCAGTGTCAGCATCGCCTAGGGACTTGTTAGAAATTCAGCTCTCAGGCCTCACATCAGACCTACTGAACGAGAAGGTGACCGGGACCAAAAGATGGGGATGGGGCTCAGCAATCTGTGTTTTAACAAGCCTCCGGGGTATTCTGATGCGGCTACACACTGAGAACCACTGCATTGCAGAACTGGAGAGGATGGAGGAGCAAATGGAATTACTTAGCCTGTCTACCCAAAGCATCACTAGAAATAGTACTAGGCACTGGGCTGGGGATGTAGCTCAGTGGTAGAGTGCTTGACTAGGATGTGTGGGGCCCTAGGATGCGTGGGACCCTGGGTTTGATTCCCAGCACTGCCCCTCCCCTGAAATAGGGCCAGACAGAAACAGTTCCCCCAAATGTATCCCTAAAAGGGCTATCACAAGTGTCTCAAACACTCCTCTTCCACACATCCCTTTGGCTCTAAGCTTTGTAAAAGTGTACCATGAAGGAGTTACAAATAGGCTTTAGCTACAAACGCCTTTTGTGCAGATTAGCTCAGGGCAGTTGATCTTGGCTGCACACTGGGTTCACATGGTGAGCTTTAAAAGTCACAAAGTCACAAAGCTCTGATGCCATGCCCTCGAGATTCTAAATTCATTAGTGCAAGGTAGTGTTCTAAAAGCTTCCCCAGATGGTTTAGTGTTCAATTGCGGCTTGACAACTTGATTACTGACTCAGTCCTAGGTAGGTGGAAAACTAACTACCTGAAGACCATTACTCCTGGAAACAAACGCCACAGGATTACCACAATGAGGTAGCTCCAACATCAGATTTCCCGCCTGACTGTTCTGAAGGAAGCCTGAGATCAAGGTGTTGGCAGGCAGGGCAGCTTCCTTCTGAGGACTGAAGAAGACTCTGCTCTCTCCTAGCTTTTGCTGGTTGCTAGCAACCTTTTGTGTTCCTTGGCTTGTAGATGCGTCACCTTATCTCTGTCTTCATCTTCACATGCTGTTCTCTCTGTGTACCTGTGTGACTGGTCCAAATTTCCCATTTTTGAAGAACATTTTAACTTGATTACCCCTGTAAAGACCCTATCTCTAAATAAGGTCACATCCTGAATATATCTAGAATGCTAACATATCATTTTTTTGGAGGGGGGAGGGAGCACAATTTAAACCAAAACAAGGAGCCAAAAAAAAAAAATTGGTGGGGATCTTGGGTGGAGAGCGGTCTGGGTGGATCCATACCCTACTTTGATTCGCTCCCTCACTATGTAGCCTGTGACTCCTACCCCGGCCTTACCAAGCCTGTGACATTGCCACTGTACAACTTCCTCAAACTAAAACTCTGAAATGTTGTGTTAGCCCACCTTAGGGAACTCTCACTGCCTGTCAGACACTGACTCAACAACCATGCAAAGTAAGGGTTACAATATGCCCACTTTTCAGAGGAAGAAACAGAGTCAGAGAAGCTAAGTGATTCATAAGGAATAGGAGACAACCAACGGAACGTGTGTAAATAAAGGAATTTTATCTATCAAGGACAGAAGAGCCAGGTTTCTCCCCAGGATTGGACTGAGATTGCTTGGAATTGTTATTACCTGGAATCAGGGCTTCCTCTGGGTTAAAAAGCAAAGGAAGGAGCCCCCGTGCTCAGGAATTGTTATTAGCTGTCAAGCTCTCTTATGCACATGGCTCTTTTGGTGTTTGTTTTTGATTGAACCTTTGACAGCCAAGCCACAAAAATCCCCAATTACAAATGAGATAATATCAGCTTAGATTGTTGAGGGGATTTGTGAAAAGTTGCTCAGCTAGAATACATGCAGCCAAAATAAAACCAGGTAGTCTGGAAAAACCCAGTGTACAAGAACCGAGTGCCAAAGGTAGAAGGTGCCCAGTGATAAAGACAGAGGCAGACAAATCCAGGATAATGAGAATGCAATTTATTGAGACATATAGATGTAAGTGTGTGGCAGCAAAACAGGAAGATCCCTGTACTGGGAGACAAGAGGAAGGGGTTTATATGCTAAGCTAGACAAAGGTGGCCCAAGACCCATGGGGATGTACATGGTCTTCCTCAAAACAAAAGAAACAAAAAAGCAACCTATGAATGTATCATCATTAGTTAAACCATCTGGGTGTCATTGGCCAGCGTGAAGCACTTGGCTAGCTAGCTTAACAACTGTGTTTATGCTGTGAGTTTCCAATGCATGTCGGGACTCTTGCTGAGCAAGATGGTTATAGCCAAGCTGAATCCTATGATGAAGGTCTTCTGGCTCCACTCTGCGTGCTCTCCTGGCTTCCCCAGCGGCATCTTGCCATCCTCTGCCACACCCACTCCACTCCTGCCCCCAACCCTTTTGCCCTAAACCAGTATGCCTTTGGCATAGGAGGAGAGGAGAGCTGACCTCTTATGCAGCCTGCTGAGAAGTGGTTTACTTGTTTTCTTTGGGTTTTGGTGGTTTTTTCTTTTTCTTTTGGAGGTATTGGGGTTTGAACTCAGGAGACAAGTGCTCCACCACTTGACCCATGCCCCCAGATCAACTTTTTTTTTTGTGGTACTGGGACTTGAACTCAGGGCCTACATCTTGAGCCACTCCACCATCTCTTTTTTGTGTGTGATGGATTTTTCCGAGATAGGGTCTGGAGAACTATTTGCCTGGGCTGGTTTTGAACCTCAATCCTCCTGGTCTCTGCCTCCTGAGTAGCTAGGATCGCACACATGAGCCACCAGTGCCTGGCTACCCCCAGATCTTTTTGCTTTAGTTATTTTTCAGATAGGGTCTTGGGTTAAGGCCTGGGCTGGCCTGGACCAAGATCTTTTTTAGGGTTCCCACAGATGCTGTCACCATGCCTAGCTTCTTATTGGTTGGGATGGGATATTGCAGACTTTTTGCCTGGGCTGGCCTCCAAAGGCAATTCTCCTAGTTTCTACCTCCTGAGTAGCTAGGGTCACAGACATGAGCTACTGCATCCAGATGTTTTCTTTGTTTTAAAAATTGCTTTTTTCTTTCTTCTTCTTTTTTTTAATGGTACTGGTTTAGTACAGGGCCTAACTTTGAGCCACTCCACCAGCCCTTTTTTGCAATGAATTTTTTTTTTTTTTTTGAGATAGGGTCTCTCAAACTATTTGCCCAGGCTGGCTTCAAACTTAGATTCTCCTGATCTCTGCTTCCCGCGTAGGTAAGGTTACAGGCATTTGCCAGCAGTGCCTGGCTAAAAATTCCTTTTTGGTGGTGGGGGGTTTAAGACCACTTCCTAGGCTCACTATGTGCTAGGATTACAAGCATGAGACACCAGCACCCAGACTTTGAGATTCTTTGTACATATGGCTCCCATCTTCCAGAAAGTAAGATACTGTGTGGGGCTGTGTGAATGAGTGCACATGCGGGTCCCTTGCCTGTGTGTCTGTATTACAGGACTGTTTAAGCAAGAGGATATGTATACTTCAGACAGGGAAAGGAGGCAAATTGGGTTCCAAGGATCAAACCAGAACCAGCCATGGGGTCCTAACCTCTGATCTGTGCTCAGCTTGACATAGTCCTGGGTTTAGCACCCCACACCCTGTGGCCAAATGCATAACACTCTAAGGGAGGAAGTCATTGCCATCCACAGCCAGGCATTCTGTGGCATTCTAGGGCTGCAATGGGAAACCAAACAGGATGCCTTCATGGAAATACAGTCTAAAGGGAGAGTGATGCTGAATCATCACACAAGTGTACACGTACAAACTGGGATAGGTACTACACAGGAAAGATGCCAGATTACATGTGAGGAGAGAGCTGGGCCAGCCTGGGGTTGAGCCATGCTTTCCAGAAGTGGTAATGGGGAGGTCTGAAGGATGAATAAATGTAACTGGCAAACACAAGATGAGACAGGCAGAGGGAGCAGCGTGTGCACAGACCCTGTGCTGGGAAACAAGATGATAAATCAAGAGGCTGCAATGCAGTCCACTGGGAGCCCAGAGTTGACTAAGTCACACTGAGGTCTGAGTAGCCAGCAGGGTCCAGACCACACCTGCCCTGTCAGCTACTGATAGAGTCTTTGACTTTATTGCTGGACAATGGGAATCCAACAAGGGTTTTAAGTAGGAGACATGATGCAACTTATGTTTTGAAAACATCACCCAGGATGTTTCCTGGACTATAGGCTAGAGGAAGCTAAGCAGCCATAGTGAGACTAATGGGAAGAACATTGCGATCATCCACGACTAGAGTGATGGGGAAAGAAAGAGCGCACACAAGTCAGATTCAACTTACACTTATGGGTAAAATCCGCAAGACCCTGTGACAGTTGTAGGGTGAGGAAGAAGGAGGTATTGTGATGGGGTCTTGTGGAACTGTTTGGCTGGGAGTACCTTTCTTCAAGGTCAGAGAATACCAGATTTAGGAGAGATGGGTAAATTGTACATTTATTGCTTTGGTTTTAGATCAATTAAATTCTGTTGAATTTTGCTTATGTTTTAATGTAGTATTTGCACGCAGTCCAAAATTCAAAATATTTATACTTAAAAGTCTTGTCCTCCAACCACGTAGGTCTTCCTCTTACTTCCTGGAGCCAAGGGGCATTACCAGTTTCTTCTGTATCCTTCCTGAGGTGGTCAAGGCCTTTTGATACAATTGTGCATGTGTTCATCCTTGAAGATGCTGATCTTGAGGTGCCTGTCAACTGTTAAGAGTAGATGCAACACTTGCAAAGTACTTTGTCAAATATGAATAACATTTTCAAATGAGAAACATATAGGGCTCGGACTTGGTGTGCATTTTATTTGTTTTTAGGATTACAGTTTTTTATTTGTTAAGTAACTCACAAACTTTCTAAAATATTCCAGCTGTTGGAAAGGGAAGAGAGTGGTAGTCAGGTATGGTGATGCATATCTACAGTCCCAGCACTCTGGGGGCTGAGACAGAAAGACCACAAATTCAAGGCCAGCTGGGGCTGTGTAGCAAAACCCAGTCTCAAAGGACAAGGTGATGGGTGGCTCAAGTGGTAGAGCACTTGCGTAGCAATCTTGAGGCTCTGAGTTCAAACCCCAGTCCCACCAATCAGTCAATAAATCAATAAATGGTGGAGAGGGAAATGCAAAGCTTCATTCCATTCAGACATCCAGCACCCAGTTTCATCACAAAGACGGTTGCATCTTCTAGAGGTATCCAATGTATTCATATGGAGAAATGTGTCTGAGTGTTTATGGTGAGTTGTGTTTATACACATAATTACTTTATTCAAGTGGATGCATTCCCTACATTGCCCTGGGCTGTTAAAATTTTGAGATCATCTAATATGAACACACATAGATCTGCTTCACATTTTTAGTATCTTTATAGTATTCCAATGTGTGAATATTAATGTTATTTAGCCCGTCCCTTAGCAGGGAACACAGGAATTATCTCCATCTTTTGTTACTGCACTTTCCTCTGCCGTGCTTCATAAAAACACACGTGTGTCTTTGCATCTGTGTGCTCACGTTGCCTGGAGTATAAATTTCTAAAAGTGGAGTTTCTGGGTTAAAGTCATATTCAATTTAAATATTTTCATAGATTTTTTTTGTATTGCCCTCCAGGCAGGTTACACCCATTTACAATCATCACAGTCGTGTTTGAGTATAACTTCTGCTACACAATGTTGGCAGACTTCTTCATCTTTACCCGTCTGATAATGACCAAGTCATTCAACTCCCGCACCCTTTGTTTCTTGGACTGTGATACTAGTTTGGTGCCTAACAGGTGTTACTGATAGGAAATGGTGACTCTTGCTCTTTTGGAGTGATTTTTCTGGTTAGGGTAAAAATTTGGAAACCTGATGGAAAGGAACAGCTTGGCGGCCTCCACTTAAACCTGCCTTTGGCTACGTTGTTTGGATTTGGCCAACATTTGGGTAACTTCTCAGGTCATAGGATCATGGAGAGGCCTCTCCAGGATGGGCTGAACTTTGGTTTCTGAGTAATAAGGCACTGAGAGGGAAAATTCACCTCCTGAACGAACAGGAGGGCTAGGCACCCTTATAAATTGTGCACATGTCAGTCATCAGCACTGTTCTTGGCAGCTAAAGGGAAAGACCATTTTTTGAGGCTGCTGTGCTGGCCTCCCCAAATTCCAGGCTCACCTGATTCAAAAATGCCAGAAACTGGCCAGGGATGTGAGTGTTACAGTTGCTGCTTAAAACATGGTGTGGGTTTCTTTTGCAGTACCTGAATTTGAACTCAGGGCCTACACCTTGAGCCACTCCACCACCAGCCCTTTTTTGTGATGGATTTTATTCAAGATAGGGTCTTGAGAATTATTTTCCCAGGCTGGCTTCAAACCACGATTCTCCTGATCTCTGCCTCTGAGTAGCTGGGATTACAGGTGAGAGCCACTGGTACCTGGCCCTCCTAGATGTTTGACTCAGCAGACTTAGTGCTGGGAAAGGGGTGCTACCAGCACCTCCCTCAGCCAGATCCAGTGCCCCTCATCTCAACACAGATCCCTTCCTCCTGACCTCTAAATTGGCAACAGTCTCAGGCAGAGCATGCATTCCATCCTTTGTTCATTTATAGAGTATATTTGAACACTGACAAAGTGCTGGTCCGTATGCTGGGCCCTCGGAGTACTGAGATGCATAGGACAAGTCCTCCTAGCAAAAATCCCAGGGTCTAAGCCAGCCTATCCTACACATACGCACTTCCTTCTGGCTGTCTCCAGGAGGCAGTCTGCACTTCTTTTCTCACAGAGTCTCAAACCTCGGGTCCCTGAGGGCCTCCCTGTTCTCTCAGCTAGAATTGGTCTTCCTCCTTTCCCATGCTTTTAAAACCTTATTATTATGTTCTTCCCCTTCTCTGACTCCTGCAAACTTCCTGGCTCATTAGAGTAGAAAATACCCAGGTTTGAACCTCTCTCAGTCACTGACTGTGACATTGGTAAATGACTAACCTCAGGGAACTTCAGTTTGCCCTGTAAAATGGAGGTAACAATATACTCTTCTCCAGGCTAGCAAAGCAAGCCAGTCCTGCTGCTGAGGAAGCCTGGGGAGGTGCTTCTATTCCAGCGATTGTTATTTCACTCAGCTAGTACTTTAGTACTTTTCATAGCTCTCAGATTAGTTCCCAGAGAACTTCACCAGCTCCAGGGACTCAGGTTTTCAGGACGCCCTTCCGTTCAAGGGCTCTGCTTAAGTCATCACTTCCTTCCATGGTTTGTTCTTTAAGGAAGTAACCCCATCTGTCCTGAAGATGGCTAAAAGTTTAGTTCCTCTCTGCTTTTCATATAGAATTCAAGGGAAGATGTGATGGTAAACTTTTAAACTTTCCTTTAAACTGCTGGTCAGATTGCTTTGTCTAAGAAGAAATCTTAAAAATATTTAAAATAATAAATTGTATTTTTATTATCCATTCATGTACTTACTAGTACCTATTTACACAAATACTAATGAGGTCATTAGTCTGAGACAGGGTTTCACCAGGTCGCTCAAGCTGACCTTGAGCTCCTGCCTCTGCCTCTTCAGTACTGAGACTACAGGCGTACACTCTACCATGACTGGCTTGTTTTATATATTTTTTTTAACTTAGTGACATCATAGACATTGTTCCTTGTCCATACAAAGCTCTTTTTCTTTTTTTCTGTGTGTGTGTGTGTGTGTGTGTACACACTGAGGAGTGAAACTAGGACAGAGTCTGCACCTTCAACAATGGCTCCATCCAACTCTTCTGTGTGGGCGAGAGGGACTCTGGCTACTATGTCATCACTGCGACAGAAAGCTTGGGGAGCAGTCAGTTTGGCACCATCGTGCTGCACGTGTCTGGTAAGACATCCCAGGGGCTCTTCTGAACTGCAAGTGTGGGTGGCCAGCTTCATAATGTTAAACGACATTGTCTTCCTCTCCCCTTCCCTTTCCCTAGAAATCCTCTATGAAGACCTCCACTTTGTTGCTGTCTTCCTTGCTTTGCTTGGTGCTGTGGCTGCAGTGTTAATCAGCCTCATGTGGGTTTGTAACAGGTGTGCATATAAATTCCAGAGGAAGAGGAGACATAAACTCAAAGGTAATGCTCTGGATAATCAATTCATGGTTTTCTTTTTCTTTTTTGCAGTACTGGGGTTTGAACTCAAGGCTACACCTTGCCCTTTTTTGGTGATGGGTTTTTTTGAAATAGGTCTCATGAACTATTTGGCCAGGCTGACTCCAAACCGCAACCCACTGATCTCAACCTCTTGAGGGGCTAGGATAATAGGCGTGAGCCACCGGTGCCCAGCATCATTCATTTGAGGCCAGAGGTAGCATGTGCTGTCTTATTCACACCAAGAAACCACTGTGTGGCTGATTTTCAGCTCATTGACTTGCCTTTTGCTTTGCAGAAAGCACAACTGAGGAGATTGAACTGCAAGATGTAGAATGCTAGCCAAGGCTGGGCCCAAATACATTGCTACCTCAAGAGGAAAACATTTTCCAACGAAAGGAACAAACCTAGCCAGTGCACCCTACACCCTCTTGTGTCCTACCATGCAAACCATCCCTGATGGAAAGCAGGAAGGTTAAAAAACATTGACCGCCTTCAGTTGAAGACTGTGGATTGGACAAAGTCAGTTCTAGGATTTGCACCAAGTTCATGGAGAAGAATGACTGAGGCTTTGAATCAGGAGCTCTGCTTGACTGCAACTGCTGCTGTGCTGGAGAGCCTGTTGGAGGAGTCCCTGTCTTGGGGACCAGAGTGTGTCCAGATTGACTAATGTGCAGCCAGCATTGGAAAATGTTTTCTGTGCAAACTCTGTGCACATTTCTGTACCCTGTAACCCTTTATCTTATATCCCGTAAACACTGCTGCAGAACTAATGTGAAAAAACCTGAGGCTTGTGCACAATCTGCTGCCTCAGCAGAGGTAGGAAGCTTCAGAGCTGCTACTGTGCTGTGCTGTAGTGAGTTGCAAGGATGCAACCCTGTGCAGCTTTATGGAATGTGCTCCCGAGGGACCAGCTTCAGATACTAGGAATAAGGAGAAATTTCTCTTTCTCGTTCTCCCTCATTTCAAAATTAACTGATTTCCCCAAAGACCCAAACTTAGGCCAGTGTGAGGGGAACACAGCTCATCTTTACCATGGGCAGCACCCCCCATCCCCAGTCAGCTAGGTTAAGGCCACCTGTGTGAAAGTTGGGCCTGTATAATTGGTGATACAACTGGAAAACTTGTGGGGGCTTTGTTTGTATCTATCCTTCTCAGTCACCAACACTTCATGTGTCTGATCAGGCCCTTGCTCTCTCCTAACCTGGGATGAGAAACACGTGGCCTTCAGCTACTTCACAGGGTATCAAGAGAAGCCTACAGATGCCTAGAGCACTCTGAGCAATTTAAGAAAAGCATGAGAATTTTTCAAGGATCTGGAAATCTATACTGGAATGTGCTACACTGTCTATTTAAAATTAAAGTGTCCTAGAGTACTGGAGCTCCAGCTATCTGGGGATTTGGATCACAGCTGGCCTTTGCCCTTATCCTCTCAGGTTGTTAGCGACAACGTTTACCTGAAAGTTTCTTCATGCCATGTTCTATCAGGCAAGCCCTATAAGCAAGCAAAAATTTATTTTACACTCAATTTTCCCTCTCCAATATTAATAGCTATGGGTGGAAACTGAAGTCATGCATGCAAAGGTGAAGAAGTGCTAGGTATTCCTTTTCTCCCTTTCCTTTCACGTCCTCAATGTCCGTATCTTTTCTACTTCCCGTGTGGCAGGTAAGGAGTTATCTGGAGAAGTCATTCGGTGACATTTTCCTAAATAATGAATCCAGAGCTATAAGAAGGAATGTTTTGACAGGTTCAGAAGGAACTGACAGTGCTGTAGAGAAGGGCTCCAAAGGACTGCATTTAACTCAGATGGCAAGACAGCAACTGTGCTGCACAACTGACAGGTCACTCCAGCACCTGGCACACAGAAGGCAGCTAAGGCCGCCTCCTGGACACACATGGAGATACACACATTTGCGTTCCTTCCCCAGGCAGCAGTCAGGGGAACCAAGCCCCGTGCCAAGACTGTTCCGCACAGACAATGGAGAAGTGACATGAGGAGTGCTTGAGAAAAGAGGGGATGGAGGACGAGCTGATGCGTACTCTTCTTTGTCACAGAAGGCCTGCCAGCAGGATGGCGCTGATGCTGCTGGAGCCCCTCAGCTTGTCAGGGGTCAGGGGTGGTAATGGAAAAGAATGGTCAGTGGAGGCCTCCATGGGCAAACTCAGATGTAAATTACATATCCCGAAGAAACTAATAAAAGGTGATTTTCTATGCTTACTAGTTCTTTGAAAAGGAAATTTATTTGGGCACTTTTAAAGCTTCCCCATTTAAAAATTCCAGAGTGTGAGTTTTTGACTGTTGTTAAAGAGAAGAAAATATTAAATAATGGAGATTGTCCAGTATAATGTTATGTTTAAACTGTGAAAAAATGTTTTAAAAAATGAGTGAAAATAAAGCCTTGGTCCTTCTGTCCTTTGTGCCAGCCATTGCCTGCCAAGCACGCAAAGGCTCGGGGTGATGTTTCCAGTTAGTGTTGAATGCACACCAAACTCTCAACCACAGCACTGGGTGAGGCACATATCTTAAATGACAATGGAACTAATCACATTGGTTCTAACAGTAAGTACTTTTTAGCAATTAAGAAAAACACCACCTTATTAGCACCAATGTTCCCTCTCTTTACTGTAGCCAAAAGACCAATTAGTATTTCCATTGTGTCCTTTCTTCTTCTTGAAAGGGCTTAAACTACTGATGATCGGTCTGCCTTATTCAGTGTTGCATATGTTGCCCTATAGAACACACACGCTTTGTCAACAGTATCTTCTCAATAAAACCTAAGAACCCAAAAAGATATTGTTCTTTCTCATTTCATGCTCTACTGGTTGGCAGAAGAGCTGAAACAGAGAACCCATGTGCTCCACAATCCACATAAGACAACAAATACTTGAGATACTTGAGACTTACTCTGATCTGAAGCACTGCCACAAGAGGTCTGTTATCGGATATTGCCCAGTGCAAGAATGCAGACAGTCTGGGGAGGATACCACTCAGCATGGCTGGTTAAGTGTAACCATGGGGAGAGAAGAGGTGCCGAGTGCCATGACCAGCCAAGGACTCAAAAGTGATGGGGCAAATCCCCAGGGGTATGACTCTGAGCACAGTCTCCTCGACAAGCTGGGGGACACGGAGGAAACTCTTGCCTCTTGCAATCATTACCTTTCACATATCCAGTATAGGTCAGGGAAGCGTCAGACACTTCAAGTTTATTGAAAGCAGAGCGAATCTCAGTAGTTGTTAGCACGACTATCCACAAATCAACTCCCCCTTACAGGTGGTGTGAGCTACCAATGTTTGTGCCTTTCTGTACATCTGAACCCTCTAGCCCAGATGTCAGCATCTCCCATCCTTAAGGAGAGCATGGTTGCAGAGATCACTTTTTCCAGTCTTTTAAAAACCAGGTGGGTATGTCTGATTTAGTTTAAATACAAATCCTTCTCAAAAGGCTAAATGATACATAATAAAAGTTCTCCCCTTCTTCCATTCTACTTCCCAGAGGGAACAATAGTCAAATTTGGTGTGAACCCTTATGCATTTATGCATATGCAAGTCTACATTCTACAACATATTCAACCATTTTTGCTTGTAGTTAAATTGCATTCTGTTGTACGTATGTACCCTACAACTTGCCTGATCTTCCTTAATGTGGCTTGGGCGTTACTTCATGTCTGTACCTATTCCTAAATTTCACTTTTTTGTGCCTGCACAATGCAATCCATAGCATGGATATAATTGTTTGCTGAAAACCTTTTTTTTAAAATACAAATGAAAAATCTTGGACAAACTTTATATCATGCTGCATTCACCCAACACTGTTTCCTCGTTACTGAATGCACTCAACTCTTACCTCTTTCAGGGAATTCAGAGTCAACGTTTTATATGAATGGGTTTTATGTAAAAGCTTATGGGAGACTAATATTTGGGGATGAGAGAAAGGGAATAGCCTTGCATTAGCAATAGCCAATGTAAAAAAAGTCAAAAGTTTTAGCTTTAAAAAACCTGTGGTTTTGGTTAAATTCCCTTTGTTGTAAAAAACTAGTGATTATTCAGGCAGTTCTATGTGTAGAAATACGTTTCCTTGGGTACCTCAAATTTTGCCTACCTTTAGTAGGACTTTTTCCTACTAAATAAAGTGAACTTATTAAATAATTCAGTTTCCTATTCTTATTCATTGACAATACCTAAGTGCCAATTAGAATTTCTAACCAAATGAGATAATCAGGGGTACCATTTGATTTAACAGTGCCACAGCAAAGCAATCTGGTGAAGCTGGAGAGGGTTAATGTATAATTTCCAGTAGGCTTTTTCAGATACTGAACACATCATAGATCTCCATTACTATTTCTTTGGGTCCCACAGGGCTCAGATTGAGCACACTTAAAGTTACAAGAAAAGTCATGAATACATTTTGGCAGTAGTATCTGCCATTGACCTCTCCTTGGCATATTCATTAAGTTATCAGTCTGTATGTCACCTTTCTACCTCAGATGTCCTCATCTGTCAAATTTCAAGTCAAATAAGGTCTATCGTCCCACAAAAAAAAAAGTTTCTATAAAGCAAGATTCATTCACAACCAGTAAAAGGGAAATGAAAACAGTGAAACATGGAAGTGTTCCTGGTTCTTAGATAAGGGAGCCAGAAAACTCCTACAGTATCTAGCTGTGCTTTTAGAAAAGTAATAAATGAGCACCTGAATGTGGGGCTCCTCTGGTATCGTTTACTTGCTTTTCATTTATGCAAGGACATTTAGAGCTGTCTTTTAATTCTTCACTTTTACAGACCACTTGATAATCCTTACACCATGATCTCTTATGAATCTGTGCTTTGTGTGGTATTTCATAGGATACATTTCTAGATGTGAACATGTGGTTGGAGATAGTGAACAATGTCAGCTATGGCTATTGACTTCAGAGAACTTGCACCATGGTACTGTGTCACAGGGTTTCTCAGCCTGGGAAATAGTTACCATCCTAAAATGAGATGAGAGAGACTTTATTTTACTCCCAAGTATGTCAAGCATCAACAAAAAGCAAGACTGGGGAAATGAGACTGAACATATTAAAGACAAAGGTAGGGAGTCTCAGGAGAGGTAAAACACAGAGCATGGCTTTAAAAATTACCTGGAAAACCCCCAAATCTTCTTCCACATCCAAAATATTTAAAGTAGGATTATAGGACATGTGAAACGCTCTCTCTAGGTTATATATCTGGTTTCTAAAACTTCTAAATGCTTTTGTGTTGGGCAAGGGGGAGACTGGGGTTTGAACTCAGGGCTTTGAGCTTGCAAAGCAGGAGTTCTACCACTTGAGCCATTTCTCCAATCCATTTTGTTGTGGTTATTTTGGAGATGGAGGTCTCAAACAGTATTTGCTCAGGCTGGCCTCAAACTGTGAGCCTCCTGATCTCAGCCTGCAGCTGGCTGCAGGAGAGAATGGCTCAGAGCAAAGGACAAGTAGAAAATGGAGACAGAAATGCCAAGGTTTTTTCCTGTTTTTAGTTAATTTGTGGGACTAAGTAAGGAGTCTGTGCCTTTCAGCAAAAGGGCTTTAAGCACCTCTTACAGCTTGACTCTTAGAATTACAGCTGCTTACTGCTTTATATTTGCATGGCACCTTTAGAACTTAACATCCATTACCAACCTTATTGATAGCTGTGAGGTTAGCAAAGGGGTTTCTTTATGCCTACTTCTTTGTAAGAAAACAAGTTCAAAGGTTAACATTGCCAGGCTCATACAGATAGCGAATAGCAGAGCCAATATCCAAATACAGCTCTTTTGCCAACCTGTTGAACACTTGGGACTAATTGGTTTTCCCCTATCACCTCCCAAGTTCCTCTGCACATACCCCCTCAGATCCACGTAATTCAGGTTGAAACAAGCTGGGAATGTAAACACAAGGCAGAGTGAGGCTGGTTCAGCAACTCAGCTGCTTCAGTTTCTACCGTTCTGTAGGTGAGTAATGGCTGTTCACTAACAGAGACTTAACTGAATGGGGAAAGGAAGACATAAGATCTTAACAGCTATCAGTTTCCACTCCTACGTATGGGTTCTCATCTGTTCTACTCAGTGTGGTCCTGGTCGGTAAGCTGTTCAGGACTTTTATATTTGACAGCAATTCTATGTCTATGAGAATCAAATAAAAAGAGCTTTTATCTTTTTAAAAATTTATATGAGTAATTCATTTTTTACTTACCAAAGTATCCATCTGCAATTAAGGGAAACTTAAAAAACCAAAAACTGATCTTTCAGTAAGAACTTGATGTGTCACTGTTCTGGTGTAAGCCTCCAAAAATCACACGTGAGACTTGTACAGTTTAGCCTGCTAGCCAAGGCAAATTTTGTGAGCCACCAGAATTTCTGAAGCACTAAAGACTTTTAATAAGTAACTGCAAATTCTGACCAATTTTTAAATTTCCATGGAAAGATGCGGGGCTCTCTTTTTTTCTCGGTATGGAGTTTGAACTTCGGGGTTCAGGCACGCAGCCTAAGCACTCTACCACTGAGCTACACCCTCAGCCAAGATGCAGAATCTTGGTCCGAAGAGGCAAAAAGCAAACAAAAGCACAAAGAAGTTGCATCACAGCCCATACGCTCCATTTTTCTTTAAAAACAAAATAAGATGGAGGAAGATGATGGGTTACTGCCATTATCTTAGAAATTATTAAAACAGAAGATTTTATTGATTGATTCATTGGAACTGGGGTTTGAACTCAGGGCTTTTGAGTTTGCAAAACAAATGCTCTACTGCTTGAGCCACAACTCCGTCCAAACAAGTTTTAAAAATTCAGTTTTAGCTGGCAGAGTAGCTCAAGTGGTACAGTGCCTGCCTAGCAAGCATAAGGCCCTGAGTTCAAAACCCCATACTGCCCCCCTAAAAAAAAAGACAAAAGGAAAAGAAAAAAATTCAAAGTTTTACTTCAAAGGATACTTTACTATGTATTGTTTTGGTGGTACCAAAAGGTCCATAAGCCTAAATTTTTTTTTGTGGGGTTTGAACTCAGGACCTCACACTCGCTAGGAAGGTGCTCTACCATTTGAGCCACTCTGCCAGCCCAAGTCTGCATCTCTTATAATGTGAATTCTTCACACACACTTTAGGAGTGGAGCACTATTTTCAAGAAACATAAACATGTTACTTAGAAAAACCAACCCATGGGTCCATTAGTTCTTTTTTTCCCTAGAGAAAGCAGAGATCTAATGGAAGAACAAATTGGAGAAAGCAACCCAGGTCAGTTGAGGAGACTAGAAGGGAGGCAAGGGGACAGCTGGGTATGAGTATGCTAAGAGTATCAAGTGGACACAGGTCACTCAAATGGGAAAACAGATCAACAGGACAGGAGGAAGCCCTGAAGGTACAATCTGCCTTGTGCCCCTTCTGAGGAAGTTGTTAAACTGCTTATGTTTATGACTTGGGCATGTAAAGAAGACAGCTGGAGGAGGGACTCGGCTTTCTAACATACACAGCTTAAGAGTTCTAGAAATAGAACGTCCTTCTGCTGGGAAAGAGCTGGGTCTGCTCAGTGTAAGTGAATCTCTGAAAGCTAAGTCGTAAGAGTGCTTCTTCAACATTATGTGATCTTTTTAAGAAATGGTAAGAGGGCTGTGGGTGTGGCTCAAGTTATACAGCCCCCTGAGGCCCTGAGTTTAAACCCTCAATACTGCCAAAGAAAACAAACAACAAAAATAAACAGCAGAATGAATAGTTGATTTGAAACACACACTTTATTTGATGTTAACATCAAAGGGCCATTTTAAAAAGCAAATTAATAACATTTTTCAGGTTAACTGTATAAAAATATTATCTTACATCTTCCCCTACTATATACCTACAACTGTATTTAAACTTCTGCATTTCAAAGTACTTGCTACCTGTAAAGTGAAAGGTTTCAAACTGCTAGTTAAACATTTATTATTTTCGTAAAAAAAAAAAAATACACCTTTGGAAGATTTCCCTTCCTTGTGCTTATAACTTATCTGCAAACATCTCAAGTCAAGGTTTCTGGAAGCTGTCCTGGAAAAGATCACAGTAGACAAGGACTAAGCACAGACATAAGCAGCTCCATCTTATAAACAAAGTTCCGACCTTCCATCTTATTCCACTGGACTTCTTTGAAGGGTCCACAAAGGTGACTCCATTTGTTATCTTGTAAAACATCACTTTTTGGAAGATCTTTACACTGGTTACGAGGAAACTGAACCATAATTTTGCTGCCACTTTCAGGTCCATTACGAACTATGGAGGAAAAAACAAAATATCAATTAACTCATTTTGTAAACAAGGAAATTCCAAGGATAGCTGGGCGCTGGTGGCTTATACCTATAATCCTAGCTACTTAGGAGGTTGAGATTGGGAGGAGCACAGTTCAAGGCCGGCCCAGGCAAACAGGTCGAGAGAACTCCATCCCCAAAATAACCAGAGCAAAACAGACTGGACGTGTGGCTCAAGTAGCAGAGTGCCTGCTTTGCAAGTTCAAAGCCCTGAGTTCAAACCCCAGTACTACCATAAGGAAAAAAAAAAAGGGAAATAAATCCCACTTCATTCTATTGAGTATAAAAACCTATCTGTTCAACAACTTAAACAATCTTGTTAAATGATGCTTTTTGGCGGGGAGCGGTGCTGGGGCTTGAACTCAGGGCCTCACTGTCAGCCTGGGCTGGCCCTGAGCCTCAGTCTTCCTGGTCTCTCTCTTCTGAATAGCGGAGAGAGCAGCTGAGAGTACAGGCTCGAGCCACCCAAAATACTAACTTTTAAAAACTAATTTATGCGCACACACACACACACACACACACACACACACACACGCACCAAGCTACTGTAAATATCTCTAAACTGTGTGCACTACAAAAATCATGTAAGATGAGCTGGGCACGGTGGTACGCATCTGTAATCTCAGTTACTCAGACAGAGACCGGAGGGATCGATATTTGAAGCCACCATGGACAAAAAGTTAGCAAGACCCCCACCTCAAAAAACAAGCCATGTGTAGTAGGACACACCTGTAATCCTAGCTATCCAAGAGACATAGGTAGGAGGACTATGGCCGGAGGCCATACAAACACACGATACCCTAACTGAAAAATACCTAACGCAAAAAAGGGTTGGTGTATGGCTCAAATGGTAGTGCTTGCCTAGCAAGCTCAAGGCCAAGTTCAAATCCTAGTACAACCATCTGAAAAAAAAAAAAAAGGGAGTCTCCTCAAAGTAGGTGTTTTATTAAGCACCTCCTCTTGGTTCTACCTCTGTGGTTCTGTCCATGTGTATAGCACCATATCCATTCAACACCTGAGACTGCAGGAATAACAATGCTGACTGTTTAGAGGATCTACCAAGGTCTAATGTGCTGCTAAGATAAGAATTTTTTTTTTTTTGTGATACTGGGGATCAAACCCATGACCCCATGCATGCTAGGCAAGTGCTGTACTCCTTAGCTACAGCCCAGCCCACAAGCTAAATGGTTTTAAGTACTAGAAAGAGAAGTAATAGTCTTTTGTTCTGAGTAACAGATATGATCAGATAAACATCACTGTAAAAAAAAAAAAATCAACTCACCAGAGATAAATTACTTTTATGGATATTTAACTATTAAAGCAAAATGTTAAAGTCAAAATCCCAATGGTTCCTACTCATTCAGAGCTGCAGAAAGTACCTGAAATAGCATAGTCTCCACTCGGGGAGGCCACTGTTATGGCGGAGGCATTGCCAATGCTCTCTATGGGCCCAAGTCCCACATGATTGCTGAAGCTGAGTACCTGCCAGCCCATAACCTTGGCCAGCTGCTGCACTGCATGCACCTGATGCTGTGACATCTGTGAAAGGAAAAGGAAATATGACAGTCAGTACTTTTACTTGCAGTGACTTGACATCATCCTTGTAAGCTTCTGTTAAGGGTTTGCAGTGCCTAGACAGCAACCCTGTCTTATGTTTAGGAGCCCTCCTCTGTGTGACTACTACAAAGAGGGAGCAAGACCCCTCCTGCCATTGCAGGAGACTGAATTCCTGGTACTTGCTTTCCCTGTCCCCTGGCAGCTTGAGCACAGGCACATGACCTAAACTCCAAATGGAGTCTCCCACCCGGATCACTGAATGTGAAGCAACACTAAAAGTAGCAGGTATGCTAAATATCCTCCATTCGCTCTTCAAGTCTAGTCCCTACCCTACTCTCTGCCCTGGGAGGCGCAACTGTTAACAGCCTCTTAGGTTCTCTGGCTTCAAGTGGGGTTCAGGTAATGGCACCCACCCAAGTAATGGGGGCTATCCAACAGCTGCCAGCAAGACAGCAAGGAGGACAGTGAGTCAGGGTATTTTCTCCCTTGGCACCATCCCTGTGAGGTTATCTAGGCTGGCGGAATCTCTTGACAAAAGGCCGCTGGTCTTCTCAAGTGGCTTACTCTATGTGGCTCTCCTTTTGTGGTGTAACTTGTCCCTCCCGTTAACCTTGGGCTAGGGCTGATGACTACCGTTAATGGCTCTCCTACAACCACAACTTTGTAGACAGACCCTCCCACACATGCTGCCTGTTTCTTCTTTAGACTCTGCCCCCAGCAGTGAGCGCAGCAGTGCCATTCCCCCAGCCTCCTTGGATTTCTATCCATTTGCAAATCTTGGTCTCTAGACTTTCCACTCATTCTACAAGCTATGCAGTAACAGGTCAACAGGTTTGCGTGTATGCTTAAGCATACATGGTCAAAGCCATTTAGTATCTAATCGGCTAAGAGCTACCATCCTTCACAAATACATTTTATTGACTTGGCACCAAAGACGCAAATCAGAACACAAGATTATTGCTTCTGGGATGGGGAATGTTTTTTTCTTTTATGTAAAAAACAGGATCTCACCCTAACATTTCAAAAATCCACCCTCTATCCTTTCTCCCATAATTCAGTATCTCACTAGACTAGCTGTGGTAACTTCAGGGAGAAGGCAGTAAAAATACTGTTCTTAGTTTACAAATAAGGAAAGAAAGGACCAGAAATGTATCTAGTGCCCCAAAGCAAGTTGGTTGTCAAGTGGGGACCAAACTCCAGTACTTTCTATACTGCTATTGTAAGATTACAACATTCAACTTATTACTATGGATAATGTTCATTATTATTTGGCATCTGATCTCCCTTTCTCTAGTTTTCTTGGGTTAATACTTCTCAACTCCTAGTCCTGGAGAGGCTGTAAGTCCTGGAAATCCTAAGAAACAAAAATTTGCTAGTCTCAGAACTGGTCCTTCATCTCAAACAAAAGTAGGTGAAGGGCTGGAAGTGTAGCTCAAGTGGTAAAACAACTCCCTAGCAAGCGTGAGGCCGAGTTCAATCCATAGTACCACTACCAAAAAAAAGAACAGGCTGAGGGAAGGAAGATAGAGAGCACAAGGTCAGTCTGGGCTTCACAGACCCTGTCTCAAAAAACCTACCAAATAAACAAAAATAAAGTGAGTGGAAACAAATCTACAGCAGTTCATTAACATTTTGAATTAACCAGCAGATTGCAAATGTCATTAGAAATTACATGAAATCCAGGCTGAAGGTGTGGCTGAAGGGCTAGAGTGCCCTCCTAGAAAGCGTGAGTCCCTAAGTTCAGCCCTTCAGTACAACCAAAGAATAAAAGGCAATAAAGGGTGTGTGTGTGGGGGGGGTCCTCCTTTTATAATTGGCTACATTTTAATTACTTCTTAGCTTGTTCTTCAAGCAGTTATGAGAGAAAGGGATTAAGGATTTGTTTGCAACCACTACCTGAGACAAAAGAAAATCCTGTAGCTCGGGCTCCTGATGAGCTAGCGTAATCACTCTTCCGTCTCTGTGAGCGACTCGGACCTGCTCAACTCCAATGTTCAACTGCAGCTGAATGGACCTTTACAGATACACACGCTAAAAATCAGGAACATTCAAAATTATCTTACACAATGCCACAAACATTCAATTATATTACCATGGAAAAAAATCAGTTTTAACAATCTACACTAACATTTACGGAGGAGTGGGGTGGTCTTCCTAGGTTCCACTAAACAATCAGACCACACAGAGCACCAGTCTACTCAGTAGGCCAACAGCATATGCTCTTCTCTGGCAGTTCACAGCAGGACACGCAGCTGTCTACACAGCAGCACATACCTCCTTGTGACGAGATTCATACTGGGCATATATGGACCTGCCCTGACATCCCCCACTAGAGCTACAAGCTCTTGTAGTATCTCCATAGGCATGGTTTCCAAGGTCCCCATTAAGAGAAGCCCTGTTTTAAAAGTCACACAATTCAGGAAGTCCAAAGGCACCTGTCATTATATAAAATTGTTCCCAAACTAGATGTATCTCATTAGTTTGGGACCATTTTTGCCAGAAGTAATTTAGCCTAGTAATATAGACAACATCTTCCCAGAGTTAACCAAAGGTCAAACTCTTACATAGATGCTGGCATGGTGACTCATGCCTGTAATCCTAGCTACTCTGGAAGCGACTGGGAGGATCTCAGTTTGAAGTAAGTTTAGGCAAAAAGTTTAACAGACCCCCATCTCAACCAACAAAAACTAGGTGTGTCTGGACACCAGTGGCTCATGCCTGTAAGGGATTGGAAGGATCCTGGTTTGAGGCCAGCCCAGGGAATACAGAAGATTCTCCAAAATAACCACAGAAAAATGGAGTAGAGGGGTAGCTCAAGCAGTACAGCCTGCTTTGCAATCCCAGTACTGCAAAAAACCAAAACAAAACAAAAACCTCACACAGAAAGGGAAAAAGTTTTGCTAATTATAAAAAGTTTATCCTGAAATAATCAGCAAAGAAATCAGAATATGCACTCTATTAACTTGGCATAGGTCAAACAAAAAAGTCATAAAGTTTTTAATACATACCATTCAGACCACAGTACTCTTCCAAACAACTTACAGCCAGGTGCCTGTGGCTCAAACCTGTAATTCTACCTTCTCAGGAGGCAGAGATCAGGAGGATAGCAGTTCAAAGTTTGCCCAAGGCAAACAGTTTGGGACACCCTATCTTGTAAAAAAAAAAACTATCACAAAAAAAGAGGCTAGCAACGTGGCTCAAGCAGTGTCTGCTAGCAAGCAGATCGATCGATCAATCTGAGTCTAACATACATATATATCTAACAAATATATATGTTAGATACTAGAACCTCTTGTTTTTAACTTTATCTTACAGTACATATTTGGGAATAAAGCATTTTGGTTTTGTTTTTTGTTTATCCTGGTGGGATGGGAGTTTGAACTCAGGGCTTTGCACTTGCTAGGTAGGTGCTCCATCAGTTGACCCACGCCTCCAGCTCTAAAACTGTAAATTTTTGGGGGGTGGGGAGTGTGGAACTGGGGTTTGAACTCAGGGCCTCATGCCTGCTAGGCAGGCGCTCTTACCATTTGAACCATCCCACCCTTTTATTGGGATGGGTTTTTTGGAAACAGAGTGTATCTACTTGCCCAGGGCTAGCTTTCAACCTCGATCCTCCTGATCTGTTCGTCTCCTGAGTAGCTAGGATTATAGGCATGAGCCACTGGTGCTGGCTCTAAATTGTAATTTTGATAAATTAAAGCTTACATTATTTTTTCAAAGTAAAACAAAGCTCAGAAGGCTTAAAGGAAAAGACACAGACTTAAGCAAATTAAAAAATAAATAAATTTAAACAAGCCAGTGCTGGTGGCTCATGCCTGTAACCTTAGCTACCTGGGAGGATGAGACCGGGAGTATTGTGTTTCGAGGTCAGCCCAGGTAGATAGGTGTGACTCAAGAGGTGGTGCGCCTGCTTGAAGCCCTGAGTTCAAACTTGAGTTCTCCCCTCCCCCCCAAAAAAACAAAAAGAAAATTAAACAAGAGTGTGAAGGGACAGGAATTCTTATCACTCACTATTGATGAGGTATACTTATAGCAACCACTTTGAAGAACAACTTGAAAGTATTAGTCAAAAATTTAAATGTCCTCACTTTCAACCCAGCAGTTACATTTATAAGGACTTAATCCTACAGATATATTTACAGGAGCTGGAGGTGTGGCTCAGAGTGCCTACCTTGTGAGATCCTGAGTTTAAACCCCAGTACTGCCAGAAAAAAAAAAAATATATATATATACACGTATTATATATGTATACATATATAATACATACATGTACGTATATACACACACACATATTTGAGCATACACAAGTTATTTTGCTGACATCCAACAAAAATCTCCACCTAGGGAAAATTAAAATTTTTTTTTTGTGGGACTGGAGTTTGAACTCAGGGCTTACCACCTGAGCTACACCTCCAGTCCATTTTGCTCTGGTTATTTTGGAGATGGGGGGGTCTCACAAAGTATTTGCCTGGGCTGGCTCGAACTGTGATCCTCCCCAACTCAGCTTCCCAGGTAGCTAGGTTTAGAGGCGTGAGCCAGCAGCATCCAGCTTAAAATAACAACAACAAAACTCACTTGATACATATAATGGAACACATTATATGCATAAGAAAAGAATGAGGCAGATCCATATAAGGAATGTCAATTCACTAATTTGCTACTAAGTAAAAAGAAGCACACAAACTAGGAATGATGGTGCAGGCCTTTCATCCCAGCACTTGGGAGGTGGAGGCAGGAGGAGCATGAGTTCAAGACCACCCTACGCTATATAGTGAGACTATCTCATCAAGGTGGAGGAAAAAAAGAGTACAGATCGTAAATGACCGCTAATATGCAGAGTTTCTTTTTGGGATGATGGAGAAATTCTGAACTACTAGATAACTATGATGATTACACAACACAGGGAATTAAAATTTTTAATTTTTTTTAGAAAGCTGCACAAAAGAAGTAAGGTGCAGGTGGGATATACATACTTGAGAACGCAAAGACTTTCCTAGAATGATGTTCTGAAAATTGCTTTCAATTCTAAGTAGCCTCTAAAAGATGAGGATCTCTCGTGATCCCCTTTTCTTTTTTTGGTTGAGACAAATTCTTGCTATATTGCCCAGGCTAGCCTCAAACTCAAAACCTCTTGCCTCAGCCTCCTGAATGCTGGGATTACAGTCGTGCTCCACAACACTCAACTCTCTCTTCCTGATTCTGTCAAGGATCTATCATCAAATTTTCTTTACAGAATTCACATTGAATATTGTAACCAGAATCACAAGGTTGTTTTGGTCTTTGGATTGGACATAAACTACTGAATGCCAATAATTGTCTCCTTTCTTTTTTTTGCACTCATTCTCTCAACATTTTTTATTATGGAAAAATTTAAACACAACCAGAAGTGGACTGTAGTATAATCATAACCTCTGATCCCATTACCCAGTCTTAAAAGGTAGAAACGCATTCCAAATTTGTTTCCCTATATTCAACACCCATTCTTTCCATCACATCCCAAAACCACCCAATTATTTTATTTCTTTAGATAGAGGAGAAAATTATGGTTCAGTTTCATTCCATCTTTTTTCATGTAAGTTTCAAAACTAATTAATTTCCTTTACATTGTATATTCTTTTATCTTGTATGAGCTTATGCTTACCATTTTTCACTAAAAAATAGTGAATTAAAACTGCCCCATTAAAAAGTAGTATTATAGGGGTGGTGGAGTGGCAAAAGTGGTAAAGCCCCTGCCTAGCAAACACAAGGCCCTGAGTTCACTCCTGAGTACTGCAAAGAAACAAACAAACAAAAAAAACAAAGACAAAAACAAAAAGTAATATAAATGCATTTTCTGTTCCTACTTTAAAGGTCAGTGATTTTGTGTCTCACCATGTTTTGTTCACCATAACTAGTTAGGTCTGTCTGAAATAAAACCTGCCCCTTGAAAAATAAATAAAAAGTACTCACAGACCCTGACAAATGTTTCCTCGAGGCTTTCGCAGACTAACTTGGGAAAGGCCTCAGCTGTGCCTTATCAGTTGTTAAATTTCAAAGAGGTTCAAATGGAGACCCAAAACATGTGTTTGTGGCTCCTAGACAACTGTATTAACTTATGAATTGTGAATGTAAAATCAAGCAGACAGCATGTCAAAGAATGCTGGGACAAAAATCATTTTGCCACTTCACAGACACACAACTATCAACTGGTTTAAAAGGCATAATCATGAACTGGATTAGACCCAGGATCAATGCCAGGCCAAGAAAGAACTTCAAATCCTGGGCCGTTCTAGGCACAACACGCAGAGTACAGGCTCTAGTATAAATGGCTGTCCTGTCTCAAGTGCACTAGGCATGTCATAGCCTAGAGGCAATAACTGAAGCAGTGTGGCCTGTGTCTAAGGAGATGGGGCCACTAGAGCTGAAAGGCTGGGTTCACTTTTTCTGTAGCTCAAATGTGTGACATTTACCTAATAGATATTATTTTAGACATTCTTACTTTACATTCTTACAAACATGACAGTTGATATTATTACTGAAATGTTATTGCACCCTAGCAAACAAAAAACAAAAGTTTAATAGAATCCCTTAGCAAACACCAGTGCCTAACAAGCAACTTAACATCCTGAACACACGACTTTTATCTTGACACTTACTTGCATATTTGCTCATAACCTTGTGAGGTGATCAATACTTTCACACTAGACTCATAAACATCATTGATATTTGACCAATGGGCCTGTATCCGAGGATCCTCAATGCGGCTTGCTAAGCTGTCAATGGTTGCAGCAGTTCTTTAAAAGAAAAGTTAAAGTTCTTAAAAAGTCACCATATAAAATGAAAGGATTTAAACTGATTATATGAAAACATGGAAATCAAATGACTACTTTTTGAAAATACCACCATTTGAAAAGCAAAGCCCCCCCCTTACCCCTCCTTGTTGAGGTTTGAACTCATGGCCTTCTACTTGTTAGGCAGGTCATCTACCACTGAGCCATACCCCCAGCCTGAAAAGCAAAGATTTTAAACAAAGGTAGAGGTAGTTCTGAGAACCTCTGCACACTGCACTGATGTGCTGGTCTTAGCTTCATCTCACAACTCGTATCAATCACACATTCGTGATTATCACAATTCATGACAGGCTTATGCTCTTTCAACTCCATTTGTTTTGTCCCATTCAGGAAAGCTTATCAGGCCACAAGTAAGAAAGATACTTCTCAGGCCCTAACTAATCTGAAACAAATCATTCGCAAGTGTCAATACTTGATCCCTGGTAACAAATGACATAGGAGACACCTGTACTTAGATTATTATAATAGAATTAAAATCAAATTCAAGAGAAGCTAGAGACCTTAAGCACAATCAAAATCTTACACACCAAGAAAGAAAAATATGATAAATAAAAATGAGAAATAACATTAAGTGTTCATTATATACCAAATATTATAATTAAGTGCTTTCATTAATTGTATTGCTTAATCTTACAACTCTATATGCTGGGTAGGAACTATTTTCTCCATTTTTCAAAAGAGAAAAAAGGTTAGCATTGTTAAGCAATTTGCCAAGGAGTCAACTGCAAAGCAAGTACTCTTTCCTTTGTACCTTAGACACACTGCTTAGATCCAAAACATAAATTATGTAAATTGATCAAACTACTGGATGCCCTTACTTTCTAATTGTCTAACTTAGCAATTTATTGGAAAGACAAACAGCTTAGAGAAAATGGGAAGAAATGACAACAGCTATGGTGGAAAGGGACTTTCACATAAACAACGAGGATTTGCTCTTTTCCCCTGCTGCTCCAGTAGTGGTAATTTCTAATCTGCTCTTAACTTTCCCTTTCCATAGTTTGCTTCCCTGACAGTGAATCAAAATTCCTACAACAGACAGACACGGATGCAAGAATGTTCTGCTCCGCATCTATCAACAAACTGGGCATAAAAAAATACCTAGTGACTGAGAATTTGGAAAGAAATTACAGAATACTCACTTAAGAGTATATGACTCAGCTATTAAAGTATCTTTGAATGCTGGGCATTGGTGGCTCATGCCTGTAATCCTAGCTAGCAAGGAGGATCGAGGTTCAAAGCCAGACTGGACAAAAAGTTCTCCAAACCCTATCTCAAAAAACACCATCATGGGAAAAAAAAAAGGGCTGCTGGAGTGGCTCAAGGTATAGGCCCTGAGTTCAATCCCCAGATCACAAAAAAAAAAAAAAAAGTATCTTTAAGAACTTGGTGAAAGAAGAAAAATTTGCAATACAGTATTAGGAGAAGGTAGGATATAAAATTTTATGAACCTAGATTTAGTAAAATAAAAAAAGTCTAGTTTCCTAATGCATATGTCTAGTCACTTGTCTGCAAAATTTTAGTGCAGTGTTAGAAACACTACATTAAGTTATATTGGCCATGCATCTAACCCTTCCCCATACATGTCAGGACCTTGCCTATCTTCATAAACTCTTACACTACAGCCACCTTCTTCCTGGGGGGAAAAAAGGTTAAAGCTCCAAAAATTAATTACATGAAGCAATACAGGAAAAAGGACCTCAATTTCACAGAAAAAGTTGCTTTCTTCATCCTTACCTGATCCTTAGAAAAATATGCTTTGCTTATTTAATTATTTTTTTCCAGAAGTCCTTCACTAAAGAATTAATTTCATTTTTATCAAAAGCTTGAGGACCCGAAAGTCTCATTCTCTTGTGGCCAAAAGGTGCACTTGCTGGGTGAGGCATCATGATGGAACTCAAGGTCTGTTTATGAAACTGACAAAAACAGCCATTTGAAATGACCAATACCCACGAAGTAAATACAACACAGTATTTAATCAAAGCAGGGCTCACACCTTGGAAACACTGAAAGCAATAGGCTTGAACTACACATGAAAGCAATTGTGGCAGAGAAGATACATGCTAGCATCTACCAGATCATGCACAATACAAGTCTGTAAAGAGAAGGACCCCTTCGAGGTTATAATTTTTTATTTGTATTTATTTATTTATTTATTTTTTGTGGGACTGGGGTTTAAACTCTGGGTTTCGCATTTGCAAAGCAGGTGCTGTACCACTCGAGCCACAGCTCCAGTCCATTTCGGTGTGGTTACTTTGGAGATGGTGTATCTCAAACTATTTGCCTGGGTTGGCCTGGCCTGAAACGGAGATCCTCTGGATCTTAACCTCCCAAGTAGCTAGGATTACAGATGTAGCCACCGAGCTATAATTTTTATTTAAAATATAAAACAATTGTACTTCACTTAGTCTCGTCGAGAAAATATATGCCATCAGTAGATATTTATTCCACTATGTCTTAGACTCAGAGATCCCCACATTTGGCTGCTTATGAGCAACCTGAGGAGATTTTTAAAAACAACAGCTTTCACACCGTCACAATCAACTGCACCAGATCTTGGGGCAGGGTAGGGAGGCTAGAATACATACTTCTGTGAAGTATCTCAGGAGCTCCCTTTGAAATGAGTCTGTACTGTGAACTAGCACTTTGGAAACATAGCTGTAGATGACTTCCATTTCCAGTCACAGACCACAGCATAACTTTTTCCATCTCTCTCTGCCCCGTCCCCATCAGAATTGGCCTTCCCTCTGCACCCTTCAGTATGTATTTTCTATAGTCCTACTATAAAACTCATTGTAGCTATGCCCCAGTGGCCCATGCCTATAATCCTAGCTACTCAAGAGGCAGAGATCAGTGGGATTGTGGTTCAAAGCCAGCCTGGGCAAATAGTTCACAAAACCCTATCTCGAAAAACTCATCACAAAAAAAAGGGCTGTTGGAGTGGCTCAAGGTGTAGGCCCCGAGTTTAAAACCCAGTACCACAAACAAAACAAAACAAAACAAAAAACCTCGTTGTATAAATATTCCTACCACTATGCTTGCAAACAAGGACTTTATTCTGATTATTTCAGAACCCCCAGCACATAGAAGGATCTTCCTCATCAGGTAGTGAATGCTGTTGCTATGTGCATAACTGAAATTCAGCGGAGGGGAGGTTTGTACATATTCACTGCCCTGGATGTGCTCACCACAATGCAAAGAAAACATTTATTTTATTACCTCTCTAATCAGTAGGTGCAAATTATGCTCCAGGACATAGAGATGATCTTCTGGACTTTGCTTCTCAATAGCAGATTTCTGGGATTTCTTATCATTTGAGGAATGGCACAAAGAAATAGGTAACTGCAAACCTATTTATAAAAAGGACAGATGCAAATAACCTACAATGTGGACAGGTACAAATTATCTTCATGAAGTATCATCACAGCCCATTCTCAAAATGTCTTCCCTCATAAGGTACAATAACAACGCATCCTCAAAAATTACACATTCTAAACTTGAAGATCAGCCCTCACCAAAATGACCACTCATGAATATAACAGACTCCTGTGCATTTTAACAATTCAAATTCTGTTGAACAATTGAATTGTTCATGTCAATTCTATATAATATGGTTGCTGACTTTGAGCTGTGGCTAAAGACTGGTGAACAAGCTATATATTTTTTCTTCCTGCCTTTAAAATTAAAAAAAAAATTTTAAACCAAGGTTTTTTTTATTGTTCTTTAATACAGAATTAGTATCTGATTCTTATCCAGTAGAAAACAGATACTCTTCTCTGCTCCAATGAGAACTGAGATGGAATTTTTCACTTCTATAACCTATTCCCTTGATAAGGCACAGTGTTAAAAATTTAAGTCTTAATATACAGTTATAAGAATTTATATTAAAAGAGTAAGTGCAAAGTTAATGAAAAAATGATTTCTAGAATAAGTCTAATTGTATTTGAATAAAAATCTAGCTTCTACAAATGTAGGAATATTATGAGTAAATTTTTTAAACTGACATTTTCTTTAGTCAAAGCAGTATCGGTGAAAAACCTCACTTGGAAACAACTGATGCTAACAGTAGCCATGTGAGTACAATTTTTATTATATGCTTTTAAAATCCAAGAGTTACACTCCTTAGGACACTCAATAAAACTGGCACTGTGTTATGTGCTTTCCTGGCCGCCATCATGGACAGCACACTTTTGTGTTATCAGTCTCCTCTTTGCTGTTATTATTCTCCCAACACACCCAAGTAGCTATCTTGTTCCCCAAAATACAAAGTACCATTTAAGTCTCAAAAAAGGCTGGCTGTTCTTACTTGGAAAGGGTTGAGAGATAATCTGGTTTTTCACTACAATGTGAGGAATCTGTGATTTAATTTGAACAGCTTCCCGAGAGAGCTGCGCAAAAATTTCTTTACACAAGAGAACATTCTGTGCTGCCTCTAATTTTGCCTGCCAATGTGGGGAACCTGAAAGACAAGAGATATGGGTATATTTCAACTCTCTGACCATACTACCTATGTATTAACTAGCCTCAATGATGACCTGAATATATAAGTTCAGAAAATGCTAACCCCTAGTACAACGTATTTTTCGCCAAAAATAAAAATCCCACTTCCTTTAACCAGAGAATACTAGTAAATAAATTCAATCTAAAAAATAAAAAAGACTGAGTGCTGGTGACTCACGCCTGTAATCCTACCTACTCAGGAGGCCGAGATCAGAAGGATCGTGGTTTGAAGCAGCCCAAGGAAATAGTCTGAGAGACCCTATCTCAAAAACACCCATTATACAAAGGGCTGGTAGAGTGGCTGAAGGTGTAGGTCCTGAGTTCAAGCCCCAGGACCAAAAAAAAAGTATAGCTATTCATTGATTTACAAATTATAAAAAGTATATTTCCAGAGCTGGGCATGGTGGCACATGCTTGTAATCCCAGCATTTGGAAGGCTTAGGTTGGAGGACTGCAAGTTCAAGGCTAACCTGGGCTACATAGTAAGACCCTGTCTAAAAAAAAGCCAGGCACCAGTAACGCACGCCTGTAATCCTAGCTACTTAGGGGAGGCTGAGATCAGAAAGATCATGGTTCAAGGCCAGCCCCTCCCACCCCCCCCCAAAAAAAACAGTTCTATACTGTCATACTCCAAAGCATCTATTTCCCCTTGCTATATTTATGTTTGGTTTATGTAAGTTAAGTCAAGAAGTTAGAGAGTTGAACATAACCACACCTGGTTTGGATTTGGGCAAAGATCGCTTGAAGAGATTAACTGTGCCAAGATCACCAATGTCTGGAGCCTGTTTTTGAATGGACACCTGTAGAACAATAAGAACAGAGAAAAAATGTTAGCAAATTAGCTTCAGGGTAATAAGACATTACTTGAGTCTGAAAATCTCGACTGAGGGAAAATAATCTATTCTGAGGCTGAGGAGTGTGACCCATACTCCCAAAACTTTTCAGGCTCTATAAGGGATCAAGCTGAGAGGACCTGACAGGATGCTGTGTGCCCTGCTGAGACCCAGCCTAGTGCATCATCCCTCCAAACCTCAAAACAAAGCTGCCCTGCTGAAGTTCCGGCCCTTGTTGATGGCTCTGGGGCACAGGCCCTGTGAGTTAGCCGAAATGGTTAGCAATGCCAGACAGGATTAGTTACAGTCCTGCTTCTACTGCTAATGCCTATAAAACAACCTCCCCCAAACACAGTCACTTAAGAATTCTTTAGGTTTCATATTCAAAAGTAGCCAAGAAACTAAGTGACTAAGATCATCCCAAAAAACCTCTGATAATAAGCAAAACTAGAGTGAGGGGGAATACTCACAACTCTAGTGTAGGTGGAGTGAGCCTAACATTATGTGCAGGTTGGACTGCAGTGATTGTGAACTGAAATTAAGCAACATGTGTGCAACATGTTCGGGGAGACTACGGGAAACATGCATAGACTAGAACCTAAAGCGTTTCTCAGAGTAGACTTCTTGAAAGTCGCTGCCTTGGGCCTACACTTGGAAGCACAAATAAAGTTTTAACAAAAAAGAAAAAGAAAAAGAAAACAAAAAAAAAAAAAAGAGCCGGCACAGGTGGCTCACGTCTGTAATCCCATTTACTCAGGAGGCAGAGATCAGGAGGATCACAGGTAGAAGCCAGCACAGGCAAACAGTTTGTGGGAACCTATCTTGAAAAAACCATCACAAAAAATGGCTGGCAGAATGGCTCAAAGTGTAGGCCCTGAGTTCAAGCCCCAGTACTGCAAAAAAAAAGAAATTACTTTAAAAATACTCTTTTTTTGCGGGGTGGGGAGGTGGGAGGAGCAGTACTGGGGCTTGAACTTAAGGCCTCATGCTTGCTAGGCAGGTGCTTTATGCTTGAGCCACTTCACCAGCCATTTTGTTTTGGGTATTTTCAAGATAGGGTCTCACAAACTATTTGCCTGGGCTGGCTTTGAACAGAGAGCCTCCTGATCTCTGCTAGGATTCCAGGTGTGAGCCTCCAGAGCCCAGCTTTGACAAAATACTTTGATCAATACCTTGATATATGCAAAACCCTCTCAATCACTAGGAATTTGGACATCAAGGGGACAGTAACCTTCAGGTATCTTCTTATCCAGATCAATATCTGTGTTCTTTATTACTTCAAATGTAGCATGATGGGGAAAAAGAGATCCTAACAGAGTAAAGATAGGAAAATGAACAGAAAGCACATTAAGTCAACATACATACTAAACATGTAATACTTCATATCCACATCACTGAACCGTAAACCAAGCTCCCCCTAAAAATGTGGGTTTTTTGGTGGGAAAAGAGAAGGAATGGTGAGCAAAGGGAAGAAAGGAAGCAGGGAAAAGATATTATTTATCTTAAAAAAAAAAAAAAGCAGCTAGGTAGCTCACTTCTGTAATCCTAATTACTTGGGAGGCTAAGATCAGGAAGATTATGGTTTGAGGCCAATCAGGACAAGTAGTTGGCTAGATCTCATCTCCAAAATCCCCAGAACAAAATGAACTGGAGGTGTGGCTCAAGCAGTAGAGCACCTGCTTTACAAGCGCAAAGCCCAGAGTTCAAACTTCACTCCCATCAAAAAAATAAAAATTGAACAACACTCCTGGGCTAGGGTACGGCTGTGTGGAAGAGCACTAGCATGCTAGAGGCCCTGGATTTGATCCCCAAAACCACAAAAGCAAAGCAAAACAAACAGGTCTTAGAGTAAGGGTATCATTATAATGTGAACTCCATAGGCCACACAAATTGTGTATTCCAGTGGGGTTTTACTTTAAAAATAAGTGTGCTTCTAAATTTCTCAAATTTAAGCCTCAGGGATAATATACTTCCGGAGCTCAACCTCTGTAATCTGGTTGCAGTTGAAGTATTCTGAATCCAGCAACAGAAAGACAAAAGAACACTGCACACAGGATCCTTTTCCAGCCAATTCCCATATTCTTATGGGATGTATTTTTGTGCAGTTAAATTATATGAGTGGATGATTAAGTGCAACTCCTGTCTTATAACAAGGGAAGATATTCTAGATCTTCTTGCCATTAAAAACAATGTAATTCAATCTTTTCATAATCATAAATGATCATCCCAAAGAGAAATTAAGTATCTGCACATAATTATTTGTGAGAAAGAACTTACAATGTCTAAAACCATAAAGTACTACTTCTACAGACCATGTAAAAAATGGATTTATCAGCTTTGTAGTGGGATTTTTTTACCTTCAGAGGTCAAAATTCTCAAATTTGCATCAGTGAAGTATTTAGGTCTTCTAGTATTTAACTTAATCACCTTGACTTACCTTCCTTTATTTTTTTGCAGTACTGGAGTTTAAACTCAGGGTCTATATCTTCTTGAGCCACTCCACCAGCCCTTTTTTGTGATGGGTTTTTTCGAGATAGGGTCTCTTGAACTATTTGCCCAGGCTGGCTTTGAACCACGATCCTCCTGATCTCTGCCTCCTGAGTAGCTCACTCAGAATGATGGTCTCCAGTTCCATCCATTTATTTGCGAATGATAAGATTTCAATCTTCTTCATGGCTGAGTAAAATTTCATTGTGTAGAAGTACCACATTTTCTTAATCCGTTTGTCAGTAGTGGGGCATCTTGGTTGTTTCCATAACTTGGCTATTGTCAATAGTGCTGTAGTAAACATGGTATGCAGGTGCCTCTGGAGTAATCTATGGTGCATTCCTTTGGGTGTATCCCCAGGAGTGGGATTGCTGGATCATATGGCAGATCTATGTTCAGTTTTTTAAGAAGTCTCCAAATTTTTTCCCAGAGTGGTTGCACTAGCTTGCATTCCCACCAACAGTGTATGAGGGTTCCTTTTTCCCTGCATCCTCGCCAACACCTGTTGTCAGTGGTGTTTTTGATGATGGCTATTCTAACAGGAGTGAGGTGGAATCTTAGCATGGTTTTAATGTGCATTTCCTTTTATCAGCCCTTCCTTTAATTTTAATTTTAGGATAACGATGGCTTGCACTAGCACATGAATCCATTGGGTTTTATTTTTCCTTTGGTGGTACTGAGGTTTGAACTCAGGGCCTCATGCTTGTTAGGTAGGCACTCTACAACCTGAGCCACCCCACCAGCCCTGTTATAGTGCTGGGTTATTTTCAAGATAGGATCTCTTGAACTATTTGCCTGGGCTGGCTTCTAACCCTGATCTTGCTGATCTCTGCCTCCCAAGTAGCTAGGATTACAGGTGTGAGCCATGTGATTCCTTTTAAGACCTCATTCTAATATTGTTTTCTCAAGTACCCCAACCAGGACTCCTTGCCTCATCTCTCAGCATTCAAAGTTTTTACCCCATTGACCTGTGAACCTTATATACAACATCTTCAAATCGTCTGTTTAATGAGCCTAACAGGTTTTCAAATTGAAGCTAGGTTATTTATTATAGGGCTATGAGAAGAACGGTTTTGGCTGAAGTGTAAAGAAATTAAATTTTCGAAATTTTAACATGTAGCTGACAAGCAATGTATTATTGAAGGATGTGTAACATTACAGTCAACCCTATATATGTACACAAAAAGAACAGTTTTTAACAATTATCCATACCTGCACTTCTGTAGCTCAGATCACCAAGAATTTTATCTCCAATTTTTCTAGGCTTCCAGTGTTGCCTTAATCTCAAGAGCTCAGAGTTGAAGTCTCTTTGTAGCTTGTTTTCTTGGTTTTCCGTAACTGACTTAGTCAGTCTTTCTGCTCCCTTCAATAGGATTTGTGCTGCTCCAGCAAGTGACTTCTTTTTAGATATCAGCTGCAACGTCTGAGGATTCTATCAAAAATAATCTATCAAGTTTTCTATCCAAAACTGCAGTTCTGTATTATTTTCAGATGACTTTAAAATTACACATTTTCTCAATAACAAGACACCTTTTCAAGAGAAAATTTAGAAATTAAGGAAAAGCAAAGAGGGACAATGAACCGCTTTATATCTCCTGGCACTCCAAAAAAAAATTTTTTTTTTTTTTTTTTTTGTGGTACTGGGGTTTGAACTTAGGGCTTCACACTTGCTAGGCAGGTACTCTACCACTTGAGCCACTCTGCCACCTTACAATGTTTTTTAAAATAATAATAAAAAATAACCTGAACGTATTTTTTAGTCAACTAACATAAAGACCTCTGTTAAACCAAAAGTACCACAATGGACTAGAAATACCCCTTCTTGTATACTGCTATCTCAACTGCTACCCACATATATACCCTTCTGTGGTACTCATACACTAAAGTCTATAATCCCTGCTGGAATGTAACTTAGGTGACAGCAGAAACCATTATACAGACACTGACACTACAACAATGCTTGAAATACCTGATTTAATGAATGAGTTCAGTGAGAATGAATATAAAATTATATTACTACAACTATCAAAGTACTTTTGGTGGTACTTGAGTTTGAACCCAGGGCCTCCATGTGCCTGCTAGGAGGTGTTCTACCTCTTGAGGCAAAGGGCTTTTGGAATTATTACACAGAATTAATATTAAATGTACTTCACTTCTGAAAACTGAGCTCAGTAAATCTATCTATCTATATATATATATCCACAATCATAACCAATTTGTGTATTTTATTACCTGGATATACTTCCAAAAGTACAAGTTTAATAAAAGAAAGTTTTCTGGTTGTATAACAGTCAAAATTCACATTAGACAATCTAACTCAAATTTCTTGAAGACGTTATGCTCCTAGAGACTGTTTACACGGAGTGAAAAAAGCAATGTGCCACGAGTAAGATGTGCGAGTTCTAGTCTTGGTTCCCAAACTACAAGCTTGACTGAAACCTGACATACTACAAATCCTCTAGACCTTACTTTTCTCTCTTTAAAATGAAGGAAGTATATACTAAATGAGCAATTATATTTAATTAATTTTATTTGCACATGGGTTCTAACAATCACTACCTCCTCTCCATGACACACTCTTACCACACTCCTGATGCCTGTTTTCCTAAGGACTTTCCTAGCAGTCTCCTTGGTTTCTGACACTTCATTCACTAATCCATCATTCTGCTACCTCTCTTTCATCTTCAAATGTTCAAATACCGAATATAGTCTTTATCTAATACCAACAATTCATATGCTCCATAATTTGGCCTTAGTTTTCTAACCAATCTCTTAAACAAAAGGAAGGGGAAAGAACTGACATTTAAGGCTACACAACTAGTGAGGGTAGAGGCAGAACTGAGTCTGTTTAAGTCTAAAGCCATTCTATTATCACATTTTGTGTGAAATATATCACAGACTAAAGACCCAGGCGGTAAGAATTTCCTAAGATTTGGGAAACTTTAAAGCATTACATTAACAAATCTCAACACCTCCAAGAGTCACACAAACATAAGAAAAAAAAAAAATACAGATACAGATACAAAGCAGTTTTATGCTTTTGCTTTGGACCAGAAAGTCCAAATCTTCATCTGGACAATAGGCATACAACCAAAAAATGGTTCAGGGACTTAATAAAAAGTTTCAATTAAAGCCTACAAATACCTGTTTTGGAGGAAGTGCATCCTGAGAGACAGGATCGAGAGTCATAAACTTTTTATCCCTAACAATACTGAGAACATCATAAAGAACACACATTTCTGTCAGGGCACTTCTCATATTGTTCTTCACTGAGTCCCAAGGCCATAAGGAAGGTTGAAACTTCACCAATCTTGAAAAGAGAAAAAAAAGAACAAGAAATACAGAAGTATAAGTTACATTGAATAGAAGACAGAAAAGCTCATTTGGAAGGCTTACAGTACTAAAAGGAGAAATAATGTTCTTTCAGACTGTCTGCCTTTTATCCTATTCCCTCCAACCTTTCTTGAATCTTTGTTAAGACTTAATACAGCATTCTTGATATGACAAATGTCTCAATTCCAGAAGTTAACTCTCTCAATACAATATTACAGCTAGACACTTTTAAATTTATGCAAGCCTTTTAATGTCCTGCTTACTTCCAGCTTTTAGAACTTGAATTCAAGTAATGACAGAGAATTGAAACAGAAAAGTTTGAAGCCAAAGCTGGCCTGTACTGCCAGCCCTGGTATTAGCTACACTAGCATACTTACACTTCCTTGCAAGTGTCTTTTATTTGATACATGCTCACTGTTTAGTGTTCAGATGACAAACTATTTGAGTAAAAAGTGAAAGTTTTCCTTTGTTCTCATCCTTGATTCTCTTCTGAGATAACCACTAGCAATAGCTGGAGTGCATCCTTTCAAAGGCTTTCCTATACATTTACATACATATATTCCCATTTTTCTGTTACTTGCTTCCCCCCACACACACACTTAATAAGATCTAGAGACACTTCCACATCAGCACATATTCATGGGTCCACTTCCTTCTATAATATTCTGGAACATGGATGTACAATAACTTTAACCATTCCTATTCAACAGACATGGAGTGCTTCCAACAATGCTGATAGTGTAAGCATCTCAAACACATACTTGTGTAAATGTACAAGTTTTTTTGTAGGCTAAATATTTAGGTGTGATATTAGTGGACCAAAAGAGATGCACATTTAAAATTCCGGCACATATTAAACTTCTAAACTGCCTTCCAAGAAAAGCTCTACCAAGTCACATTCCCAACACAGGATATTAACAATATTTTTAGTTTTTTAATTTCTGTCAATTTTATACATGACAATCTTTTCCCTCTTCTTTTTGAGACAGCTTCTCACTATTTAGCCTAGATTGGCGTAGACCTGTGATCCTTCTGCCTCAGCTTCCCAAGCGCTGGAGTTACAGGCTGGGATTACAAGCATGTACCACCACACTCAATATTGAAACGGGCATCTTTAAATTCCCACTTACACTGGGTCTGTTGCATAACTAAATCAAGAATTGTGATTTAAAAAAAAAAGTTTGACAATGACAATAAGAATACAAAACCCACTCATGCTGCTTCTGCAATTTCCTACTATGTAGCCTCCTCCCTTCCAGTTTTGTTTTTTCCTGTAACTCATTTACTGCAAAGCATCCAGTGTGATCTTATAAACAAGCAAATCACCGTGTCTACTTAAAATCCTCTAAAAGTTTTAGGCTGTTCTTCTGATAGAAGCCAAATGCTTATCCTGATCTACTAGGGTCTACAAGATCCGACCTCTCCCTATCTTAGACTTTTTTTTTTTTTTTTTGGTGCACTGGGGCTTAAACTCTGGGCCTCAGGCTGCGAGGCAGGTGCTCCACCACTTGAGCCACGCCCCCAGCCTACCTTAAACTTGACTCACATTCCAGTCGCCACAGACCTCTTTTTTGCGGGGCGGGGGCCGGCACTGGGATTTGAACTCAGGGCTTCACGCTTGCTGGCAGGCGCTCGACCACTTGAGCCACTCCACCCAGCCTGACACAGAACCTCTTAATGGCAGGTGCTCCTATCCATCCTGCACGCTGCAGAGAAGCAAAGTAAATGCCGAGGTCACACAGCCGCTGAGCTCTCAACCACTAAGTGTGCCACACTACAGGCGCTCCGTTTAAAACAGTGTCAGACGTTACCGGTGACAGTGACTCAAACGCTGCCACTCAGAGACCCGCAGGACAGGAGCATCAGGAGTTAGGCCGTGTCCTGAAAGTCCCGCTGCAATGGAGACGCGACGGGGCGGCTTCCAAGCGCACATCTTTGCTGCACGGCCAAGCAGCTACCTTCCTACCTTCCTCGTCGTCCTGGTCCGCGCTGGACCGGCGCCCGCCCAGTCCTGCGCGTCGCCCTCGGCCCCCGCCGCCTCCTTCTCCTCCTCGGAGCCCGAACCCTGGCTGAAGTCGATCCGCTGGGCCAGGCGCGCCAGGTTCTGGGACATGGACAGCGGCTGCAGGTAGGTCTCAGTGCCATCCAGGCCCACTTCCTGCACGTGCTTCTCGCAGGCCGACTCCATGCTGATCCGCACAGCGCGGACCCCCGACATGCTGCCTGCGGCGGAGGCCCCCAGCGGAAGCCCTCAACGCTGGAAACCAAACCCCGCTCTCGCGCGGAAACAAAGCCCAAGGCGCAGCGCGTTCCCAGAAGGCACTGCGAGGTTCCCGCCCCGCAAATCTCTCGGAACAAAACTGGGCAGCGCGGGAGCTCCGGCTGGGAGCGCTTCCGGTGCATCCGACTGCTGGTCCGGAAAGCTTCCGGCCTGTGAGAGGCTGGCAGACTGCTGAAGGGTGGCCCATCCGGTTGCGGGTTGGGAGACACGCGCTGGTGTCGGTCTGCGATTCTGTGCTTGTTACTTGTTTGAAGGGTCCGGGAAAGAGGAAATGAGTGGGGCCCCGG